CTCACCGCGCGCCCCGCTCCTGCCCCTGCCCCTGCTTCTCCACCCTTATCCACACCGCTCCCCATATCGATCCTCCGCTCCCACTCCCGCTCCTCCCGCTCAAAGTCGCGCTCGCGCCCCCCCCTCGAAGACACGCGGCGCGGGGCGCGCGGTTTGTGCGGCGACTCGTCCCGCGCGCGGAGACGCCGCCCGCGTCGCCCCGTGCCCTCCCCCCACCTCTGACTTGATCCGACGAGCAGGCGTGCTTATTTGCAAAGTATCGGTGCCGGTGGTATAAGTTTATTGTAACTCAGCCCCATCATTTATCTACAACGGGACGAGACCCACGCTCCTGTAATCGCCCCCAACCTCTTCATTAGCGTCCCTTTCAAACGTCTGCGGAGCTTCCACAGGAATTTGCAACTGTGCAAGGGTGGCCAATGCATGCTCCTCCAAGTCCTGAACCTTGACGTCGATCCGCCCGATCTCTCTGGTCTGCTGGCAATATTCGTACAGTGGTCTTGCCTCTATCAGCAGCTCTCTGGCCTTCGTAAAGTCGTCTGTTTTTTCGTGAACCTCTGCCATACCCCGGAGACAGTCGGCATGTGAACGATAGACGCCCATGGCAGCAAACCCGGCGCGGGCGACTTCGAACAAACTGAGTGCAGTGGTGTTCTCCTCTTTCACCAAGAAAATTCCTCCGATACACCGCAGCGCCGTCATGCCGGCCACCCTGTTCCGTCTGACGAACGCGGATGCCAGGAAAATCACCGCCCACTCCAAGGTTTGTTCAACCTCGTTCAGACCGCATCCGAGATCGGCCAACCGCTCCAGACAAAATATTTCTATCTCGGCCCAGTTATTGCGCGATGCTGTAAAATGTCTCTCGAGAGTAGCCTTGGCTTCGTGTATGTTGCCCTCGCGGATTTCCAGGTCGGCGCGCGCGACATCACACGCCATGGTGCCAAGTGTGGATGCCAGAGAGCCTTTGAACAGCTCCCCGCAGCGGTTGAGCTCCGCACGGATTGCCTCCGCCTCCCCACCGGTTCGGATATCTATGAGCGTAATGTTCACCCGCGCGAGGACCGCTGCAGTCCGTCCCTCAGAGGCTTCCGCCAGTCTTTCATTCAGTCGGCGTGCCTCCGCATATTCTGTCTTCAAGCAGAGCAGAATCGCCTGTATCCACTGGATATTGTTGTATGCAATCGATGCTTGAAAGCCGCCTGCCACTAGCAGCCGTTTTGCCTGGTTGAGAAGGCGTGTGGCATAGGGTAAGTCTCCTAGTGATACACAACACTCGGCTTCCCTGGCGATTGCATGGGCCTCCCTCGTTAAGTCTCCGGCGCTCTCCGCATAATTCCGGGCTTCCTGGGCAGACACTTTCCCAGCGGTGTGTTTTCCAATGTCGTTCAGCACCCCTCCTAAACAACAGAAAGCATCCGAGAGGCCCACGAAGGTCGACGGAGCCTCGCATGCGCTTGCCACTGATATTGCCTCTTGGAGCCAATGAATTGCAGCGGCCTGGTCCTGCCAGGAGTAGTAACGTCCAAGAGAGATGTACCATTTGACTTCCAGTACCACAAAATTAGCGGATTCAAATTTCTCCGTAGTCTGTGTTCGGCGTACCTTTCATCTCTGGGCTCGCATTCTCAAAATAACTGTTCCCTCGCGCAATATCCACTTGGACATCCGCACTGTCTCCGGCAACGAAGCTGCCCACCTTGTGCACCAGATACCTTCCGTACACCGCATCACCAGCCCATTCCGCAAGGTACGGATCGAAAGACCCTATCAACCGCTGTCCCGCCCGATTAATAAACACAGCCAAGATATCGAGGGACAGCGCGCTATTCAGGGTCTGCCCCAAATCCTCGCATCCATCCAATAAAGCGTCAGACAGTATGGCCCGGAAGTTATTGAAGGTTGCCATGACTTGTGCGGCGATGTCGCGGTCACCTGATCGCCATAGCGGGATGACCTCATGGTAATGCTGGCGTAGGGCGGCCTTCAACGCCGGGGAAGGGGGGTACACGCCACGAACATATTCTCGAATCGGCGGTAAGACGCTGAGCGTTTTCCCAAGGTCGACATAGGCGAGGGATGTCTGGATCAGCGTGGATTTGGCGGCGAGAACATTCGATATGGGTAGCTTGCTGTGCAGGACTTCGGCCTGAGATAGGCCGTCTGGAAGAATGCTCAGGAGATTGAGGAGTTCCTGTGCCTCGGGGGTCATTCTGGAACTTGTGAGAGACACCATGAGCGAGATCTCGAGGCTCGAGCCTTTGTCATAGCCGTCGGATAGGAGGCGAGTCTTTTCTGCGTGCCAGCGGGAAAGTGTCTTCTCGCACCCTTCGTGTGAAACAACGCTGGCGATGAGGCTCACGGCGAGCGGCAGGTTGCCGGTTAGTTTCAACACCTGTGTGACAAGGCTCTGCTCATGCCTATCATCCGCGATAGCAATAAACATCTGTCGAGCGGCGGCGTCCTCGAGAGGACGCAGTGGAAGCAGAAATGGACGAGTCCACTTGACCTTGGCGGGCCGCTCGGCACCTCTCATCGTGATCTGGAATCAAAATGATAAGCTGAGGCACGCGCGTAAACAGGGAGTCGTACCAAGAGCGCGACATGTGCCGCCGCAGTCATCGTCGAGAGGAACTCTTCCACTTCAGACCGGGTTTCATTCGCTTCCCACGGTGTCTCAAAATTGTCGAGCACCAATAGTGTCGGTGGGGCGTACTTCAGAAACCTCGCGATCCGTCTTGCAAGATGTCGACCACGCTCGACACCCAGGTGATCGGCGAGGACAGAAATGAGATCTTGGCAAGTTGCGGTTGCGTGGCAGGAGATGAAATGGCGTTCGGTGTATTTCTTGATTACTTCTGGATGATGGAGAGCAGCTGTTGCGAGAGCCGTCTTGCCCATCCCGCCCGGTCCCAAGATGGCGATCCGGGCAGGTGTATACTGTGTAAGGATGTCTATCACATCCCGGAGCTCAGTTTTACGACCGTGAAATATTTGGGGCGGAGCGGGGAGGAGGGCCAGGGATACAGAACTTGGTCCATAAATTAATTAATGCAGGGGAAGCACACGGCGGAAGCATCGCACCTCTGGTCCAAACGGGAGATTGTCGTACGAGTACCCTTAACAAAATCAATACCCTTACGTGTCAGAAGTAGGACACTTACCGACGAGGACCGCTCGGCGTTGGTGAGGTCTGGATGCGCGGCAATGAGAGCGATTAATTCTTCGTGCTGCTGTTTGGCATCTCTCTGGACCCAAAGGGTCTCTGTTGTGGTATGAGTCCCCGCCTGAATCTGCGGAGAGATCACGGTCAGTCCCAGGCGGGTTACACAACACGAAACACACCTGAAATTTCTCGAGCAATCCTTGAAGCTCAGCGTGGCAAGATTCGAGTCTGGACGCTATTTCCGGTTGCTTAAAAAGCTGCCTAATTCTCCCCATTGCTTGCTGAGACTTCATGAACGAATATATCCTTTGCAGCGTCCTGTAGCACTCGTTTATTTGCATGATGAGAAGGCCCAGTGGATTGACAAACTCCATGAAGCTGCCAATGTCGTGCAACAAAGCGGGCGCCGATCCCCCATCGTCGACAGCTGTTGAATATATCCCAATGATTGCACAGAGGATGGTATAGATTTCATCCACAAGTTGCACAGATTGCTCTTTGTTAGCACGAACGGTCTGTTTATAATGGGTCGTCAATTTTCAGTGACATAAACAGAGTGATCCCATGCGCACCTCGACTATCTTCAGGATAGCCAGGGTAAGTGACGCAACGGACCCCAGAAAAGGAACGCTAGCAGATGCCGCGATTTCCTTTGCTGTTGAAGCTGCAAGAGTGGTGTACTCGATGATGCCTCTCAACCGTTCGGGGGCCATCGTTGTTGGGCAAGGGAGTTAAGGAAGGCGAATCGCCCAGCCGTCGTCCTATATAAGCGTAATTCGGTGTTCAAAATAACCTGCTAGTATTTCTCCGTTAGGGCGTAGCACACACACGTCTCCCATTTTGGTAAGTGCGGTTTAAACCCGTTTACCTGTCAGAGATTTTGAATTGTCTTTCTGCTTCGGTGGGGTGATTTACCCCGATACGGCACCCTGTAGGCTGTAGCGGAAATATGAAGTCGGCGGGCCAAAGGGGGATGTCGGCGGCGGCTTCGGGCTGGATGCGGCCTGATGTGGTCGCGACAGTAATCAATTCATGTTGAGGAACCAGGAACCAACAATGTAGCCGGGATATTGAGGGAGTCTCATAAAACCCTCGGGGACGTGAGAGGAGATTCGCTGTGAAACTCGGACACGGCGCAACGTCTTGTGTGATGAAGGCGGGGCCGATGGTGGCGCGGGAGAAGGTTGAAATACGGAGACGTGCTGCGAGCTAAACGAGTATAAGACGGGAGCGAACAGGGTAGGTAAGGTAAAAAATCGGAATCAGCCTACTAGTAGCCAATCGCATGACCAGTAATGACTCAGTAATGAGTTAGGGACCAGGGTTAACTTGGGGGAGGGGGGGACGCACCTGGCGACAGAGACTTGTCTTGCCGACGCCGAAGGCGCCGATAACGATGACCTTGAATGTGGGCATCGTGTAGCCTCAGCGGTGAGGGGATGTAAAGGGCACAGAGGCAGTGGGCGCATCAAGCGAGAGACGTGATGGAGAGTCACAGAAACGCGATCATTCGGGCTTTGCCGGCGCGGTGATTTCGGTTGCTGGTTGGGTTTTTCCCCAGTTTCGTGCGGGTACATTGCTGTGTCATCTGAAGATGCCGGGATCAGGATAGTCGAGCAATAATTTTGTGTTTTCAGCACGCGGGAGGTGCAACAGTTGACGGCAGCGCCAAATCATATCACCGACAGTCCACTTCATACTCCAGGCGCAGCTTCAGCCTGCCTGTCGATCGAGTCCTTATAGTGCTACAACATATGTTGTTGATTTCGGGAGGACCGGAATGGATAAAGACGGTTCGGGCCAGCCATAGCGAGCGTGCGTATGTGGAATATCAGCGCCGGTGGTGCACGGTACACGCGCCTCGTCTCTTCGCCAGTGTTGCACGGAGAATGAGGAGGCGAGTCCGGGGTTCGACTCCCCGCCGGCGCATTCCATTTGGAGACGCATAGCTTTTTTCCCCTTCTCTCGCAACGGAATCAATCTGTCAGAAGGTAGCTCATAGCGCGGGTGTACGGTACATGCGCTACGCCCGTACGCCACCAGCATAAGAGAGGGATAAATGGCGAGCCCAGGGTTCGACTCCCCGCCGGTGCATGGAGATACCAAACATGCCCTTATTCCTGGTCGAGAAACCAAAGACAAAGACATGCTTGCTTTTCTTCTCATCAGGCGTCGCGCGAGCTCAGAAAAACTTGTCGCCCGAATTCGAAGTGCTTTTGAAGCCGCGGATTCTGTCTGCCTGCCGATCTAGTAAGTACCTTAAAAAACCGATGTTGTATTCTCCTGAAAATTTTGAATTCAGGAATGACAGAGTCTTTGGGGCCGTACTATACATCTTGTAACACCCGTTAATTCGGGGATGACCGGCACGGAATAAATAGACCATAGCGATTGGGGCCGGTCATAGCGAGTGCCGTATGTAGGATATCAGCGCCGGTGGTGTACGGTACAGGCGCCTTGTCTTTGCTGTAAGTCCGGATGAGAAGGCGAGCCCGGGGCTCGACTCCCCGCCGGTGCATAGGCTAGACATCTCGAATCTTTTTGATTCGCTAGACGCGCCCGGTTCTCCCCAGTATGAATTGCAACATATGTACCGCAGGAATGAGGAGGGAAGCAATATAAATATTCTCCGCAGAATTGAGCTCATGAGTGCATTAATAGTGAGATCCGGGAGGTAGATTTAGGTAGAGCCAGGCGGAGATGTAGCTCGTCGCACGCTGCTGGCGTGCGTTGGTGGTGTGCGGGACACGCGCTATGCCGATATGTAACACGACGACAGAGTTCAATGTTCAATGGCGAGTCCGCGGCCACTGGCGTCGGTGGCCACAGTGTGCGCGTGCTGCATACAGCGATTACACGCATCGTTCGGTCCCCGAACACGTGCGGAGGCGGCGCCTACATCATCCATTATCGAGTAGGATCAGCACATCCCTTGCGATTGCGACAGGGCTGTAATTTACATACGGAGCTAATTAATGCACGCGGGTGCATTGCTTACACTGTAGAAATCAATGAGCCGCCCGCTTCGTGGCAATGCTGAGAGCACAAGGAAAAGAGGAAAAGCCCCAAATGTGACATTCCGGAACGATATCCAGCTTTCTCGCCGGGCCCGCGTCGCGCAGGCAGGGCTTCAGGTTGAAGTTGAACATACTTCGCGTTTGCAGAGTATCGGAGGCTAAGAAAGAGCCCTCCGCTTCGCGATAAAAGGAAAAAAAAGAATATGATATTGCGGACGGTTGCCAGCTTTAGCCTCGCCGGGGCCGCGTCGCGCAGGCAGTGCTTCAGGTTGAAGTTGAACATCCTTCGCGTTTGCAGAGTATCGGAGACTAGGAATCATCCGGACAAATCCGCGGCTCATCCGCGGATAGATGTGTTCTTTTGAAGGGTATCTGCTCTCCCTCAGTATGACACCTTAGCGAAGTGCCCAGGTCACTCATGACCATACACGAAGCTCACAGATTTTGGAATACCAATTCAGTGGACCTCACCGAAACTGGTGTGAAATCGAGGAAACTCTTATCTAATCAGCCGCTGGAGCTGTTTGGAGGGAAACATGCCTTGAAGAGGATGATTAGTACGTAGAATGAGATTGAAGCCGGTTTGAGAGCACGGCAAGCAGAGGAAAGAGGGGCCATCCGTAGTTCATACGTGGGAAAAGCTGTCTCCGCGGATCGACATCATGGCACCAATCGGCGATCCGTGCCGGTCCTTCGCAACTTCACCATAAATGACGAATCGTTTGAAACCGCGATACTCCAGAGAATCCGGGCCCCTGAGTCAGCGCTAGTCAGCCCCTCGATGCCCACATTCAAGGTTGTGGCGCCTCCGGCGTCGGCAAGATAAGTCTCCGCGGCTAGGTACGCCCCCTCCTTTCCCTGCGTTAACCCTAACTCATGATTCGATTCCTATGTCCTTCGTTACTTGCCTTACGACTCTTAGTACATCTCGGCGCGCTTCTCGACCTCCTACCGCCCCACCAATGGCGCCGACCTCATCACCAAGACCCTCCCGCCGCCGCCCTTTTCCTCCACCGCCGAGCCGACGACGTTGCAGATCTAGGACACCGCCGGCCAGGAGCGCTTCGCCTCGCTCGCCGCCGCGGTGTTCCTGTACGACGTCACGCGCCCCGAGACGCTCGGCGCTGACGGCGTGGTGGGCCGAGTTCCGCGCGCGCACGCCCGTGAGCGAGGAGGATGTGCGCCAGGGCCGGTTTTGCGTCGTGGTGGTGGGGAATAAGTGCGATTTGCTGGACGGGGAGGGGACGGAGGGGGGAGGTGATGAGCACGGCGCAAGGCGTGTGGTTCGTGCGGCGGCTCGTCCGGCGCGCGGAGACGCCGCCCACCTCGCCCGGTGCGCTGCCCCATCTCTGATGCTCTCCGACGACGACGAGGACTCGGACGGCGCAGACGCCGACGACCTCGCGTCCTCCGAGCTCACCGCACGCCCCGCCCCTGCCCCTGCTTCCCCTCCGTTACCCGCGCCGCTCCCCATATCAATCCTCCGCTCCCACTCCTGTTCGAAATCGCGCCCCCCCTCGAAGACGCGCAGATCGCAATACGCCTCGACGGTCACGTCCACGCTGACGGTGTACCACACGCCCCCCTCCTCTGTCTTCAGCGAGAGCGGGGGCGCGAGCGAGTGCTTCCACAGCGCGCAGTCGTCGTACGACCCGGCGTACGCGCATGCGGGCGGAAGTGCGGGGAGTGGGAGTGTGGGTGCGAGTGCAAGGAGCGCGAGCGAGGCAACAATCATGTCTGCACACCTCTCCTCTGCTTCCCTTTCCCTCTCCCCTCCTGCTTCCCCGTCTCCCTCCTCCCTCCCAAATTCGACGTCCCCCCGCGCCGCAACGCCAGCGTGCTCGACACCGCCTCCGCGGGGCATCAAAGTGGCGTAGGGGACGCAGGCCCGAGCTCGAGCGCGCTGAGCCCCCTGCCGTACCCGCAGCACTTCCCGGTCGGGGCGGGCGCGGTGGGGGCGCTGGCTTCTCTCTCTTCTTCCCTTCTCTTTCCGCTACTACTCCGACCGTTACGCCTACTCCCAACAGGTCCGCCCCTCCGCTCGCCGGTGGCGATGCAGGAAATGACAATGGAAACGCAAACAACCCCGCCCCATACGAATACCTCCTCGAACCCGACCTCCCCTCCTCCCTTGGCTCCTCCCTCGGGGCTTCCAACGCACTTCCGCACCTCGGCGCGCACGGGCGCGGGCGTGGGGGACGTGTTTGCGTGGGTTGCGCGGCGGCTCGTCGCTTCGCACTTGGCAGCGGAGGAGGAGGAGGGAAGGGGGGTGGGGTACGGGGGGGTTCCGAGGGTGCCGCTTGTTTGGGGCGCGACAAACGGGCAGAACGAGGCGGAGGCGAGGCCGAGGGGCAAGGCAGGGAAGGAGGGGTACAGTGGGTGTTGTTAGGAGGGTCGGGAGGGGTGTTGTTAGCATGGTGTAGGGTGGGTAATTTATGGAAGGGATGGTAATTATTTCGTGTACTTATACCTACTTACATAACATATATATGGATTTTCGGTCGGGTTCGAAGGGTGGGGTTGAGCGTGCGTGGATGCGGAGTGTGGACTCGAGAGTGGGCGGGGGGCGCGGCGCGGCGCGCGAAATGCGAGTGGGTCGATCGGACGTGCTGAGCGCTGGGATCGTCGGCGGGGCGCAGCGTCTGTCGTCTGTTGTTGGAGGGAGAGAAGAGGCTGTAAAATCAACTTTAGAATATACATAAATCTAAATGTAGCATGCCTTGCTGAGTAGTATCTATCAGCGTCGGTGGTGTGTGGTGCACGCGTATGGGGGTAATAAGTAGTGTAACAGTATTATTGCCCATTTCAGAGAAATTTACTTGGGGGTAATGGCCGTGGCACCGGCCCGGCAAACTCGTACTTATATCCTTGTTTTCTTTTTTTTCTTTCTCTTCATCGTGACACCGACAATTTATAATATATATCAATGAATTATAAAGAGCGGCGATAGCTTGCATATGGTACAAGTAAAGCATGCAGATTATGTGTCGCGTGCCAGATTTTTTGCAAACTCGACTAATCCCGACGTACTCACGAATGAGCGAGGACGTTTAGTGAGGCGCCGACTCCCGGCGTCGTGCCGAGAGCCCCAAGAAGGAGAATTTAAGCTTTAGTCCCTTCTGCGAGTCCATCACGGTAGACGGGGTAGATACAGATGACTTGACTGCCACATCATCAAGGACAGACAAACCGCAGTCGCTCCCTTGGTAGATAGGACGTATCTGGTACGGATGTAAGAATAATCATGCGGTCAAAGCAAACGGACGACGTGCCTGGCCTTGGTCGTGGAGTATATCTGGGCTATGCCTTCCAGTTTTCGCGGGTCGATTCTGGACAGGTTGATATAAACACCTTTCTGAACAAAGTTGATAAAACTCCAGGCGGAGCTAGGAGACGTCAATATGTAGATCAATAAGTGCAACTCGCCGACCTATTCGACGTTGAGGATCTTGTTGTATTGATCCCAAGTGCTAAGCAAAATGTTGCCGGGACCTTGAGCTGAACTCCAAGACGAGGGATGATTGCAATAGTCTCACCATGATGGCATCAATGAAGCAATATGGAGCGCCACTCATATATTACATTACTAATTAGTAATAATATGTGTCAAATATAATCCTTTCGGTCGACACGCCCTTCCTGCCATCGACCGGACACGCCCACGCCACCGGCGACGCTCGCGTCGGCGCATCATTCCTCCCGTGTCACAGCACGCTCGGCATCTAGTGCCGAATATGCCGACTGATGTCCCTTCATCAGCTCGGCGTACGAAAATGGCATGAAGGCAGAACGGACGTCGGAGATTCGCGGCTTGTCCAAATTCGGTCATTCGGCGTAGTGGCCTTTGCGGTGTATTTAGCCGAAAGTCAAACATATAGTCCCAGTGAAGTCCTGTAAACAACCGAAGCCCTG